AGATGAATATTTTAAAGGATGTATGATGGGATTTGCATTGTTTACAGCTTTTATTACCATTATTTATTTTTTTTAGTATTTCTTTTTTGTTTCTCATTCCTTTTATATTTAAAATTATATCATAAAAAATCATTTATAATTACATGATTCTTAAATTTTAAAAAAGTTTCAGGTAGTCACGAATCTTGTAAATAAATATAGAAAACAGCAGTAACATGATACTTGTTTATATGACGTAGATCGGCTTCTGAGAATCGAAGCGAGACGCGATTTCAGAAATACGAAACAAGAGAAATGTTTATATTTTCGAAGAAAATCGTGAATTTATTTATGCTTCTCGTATATCTTACTACGTTCTTTTTCCTTCATAATGCAAAATTTAGGTTTCAAGGAATCGTACTCTATTATTCGGAAATAGTACCTAAATAGTACAGCTGAAAAGAAACTGTTTCTATCAGAATTCTTTATATTATTAAATTTATTGTATGCCAAATATTAATCTACAGTCAACAAAGGGTATATATAAAGCACGGAACAGCGATTCCAAATTCTGCATTCTTCACTATGCAACTCCCACGTACATTGGCACTATATCACGTCAGTGTTAAATTTACACGATCGTCTCCCGATTTTAAGAAGCTACACATGATTCATTAATTCTGTACACATCCCAGTTTATAGGAAATTTTTCAACATTGCACAGTTCTATACTTTAAAATCATTTGAATGTGACAAACTTTAACGTAACAAAAATTATAATATAAAGTACTTCGATTAAGTACTTCGATAAAGTACGATTAATCCATTCACGGAATGACATTATTAATTATGGAATGATGCTATGATACAATTTAATTTTTTGGAATGTAGAAATTAAACTTAATATATGCTGTGATAATGGATTAGTTTCCGCTTCAATGTACAGCTTCCGCGATGTATCGCGTGCAAACTCTTGACTCTTTAAACATGATAGTACCAACATTTTATCGACCGTTTATTTCCTTTAAAACTGCACACTTGTTTTGGCAATTAATCAATAATCTAAACTTCGATAAATAAAACCCGGAAATTCAAAATTGACATGTTTGTTGTGTTAGTTAACCCTCGAGAAACAAATGGCCATTTTGTGCCATAATAGAGTTTCCATTTTACACAAGTTTCAAGTAAATTATCTGTATCAAATTTTATACGTATGATTAACTGTATAAATTGCAATTACATTCATACCTAATCAGTGAATATTCAAGTATATACAGTTATTCATAAAAATATACTTAAGTGACACTCCTTCAGTAAATATTTAACCCCTTGCCTTACAATAACGTGTGAGACTAGTGGCAAAAATTTTAAACAGAATCGAACGTGCATGAATGTTATTCAATTCTTCTGAATTAAAATTAAATATTATTCTTCTGTTATCAATTATTATACTTTGTAGTGAAGATTGATATAGAATGCGCTTATCATTTTATTGGCAAATGCGCTTATCATTATACGGCAAAGGGTTAATATGTATGTAGTATACAATTTCTTAATTTAATGCATTCCAACTTAAATTGTATGAAGCAAGATTTATGAGAATATAAATTCCATCCAATAACTCAAACTTTAATATTCATCAAAATATATAAAGTATGTTACTTACATATGTAAGTAAGTGAGCAAATACTTTTATAAGTAACTGTAAATACAGTAACAATTGCTACTATTGATCTATATCTAGAGTAGACAGTTGCATACCAGTTATCTGAACATTCAAATAACAAAACATCAGCATATAATTTTCTTTTTCCCCAACTATTTCAAAAGTAATTATATAATAGAACTTCCTACGATAAAGATTTAAATTATTACAAGATAGCTTCAAAACACTATTTTTTGCTTCAGAGATAATAAATTCAACTAAAATTGTTACAATACTATATTTCGAACAAACATAAATATTTAATTCGTTAACACAGTGGTTAAATAAATTGCTTCTCGCTTCCTCATTTTTCAATCATCGAGGAAAACTCCTGCACTCTCGAGTCAACTTACAGTCGAGCTGAAGATGTATATACTTACCAAGTCCGCGAAAAAATGCGTGGACGGCATGGCGCGTGACGACGACAGAGAAAAAAAGAACGGCATCAACGGTTCGTTTCCTCAATTCGTTCTAGCCCAGTTCAGAGGAATGGGAGGAAATGCGAACGGAGAAGCGCACGCTCGCGCGCGCGTACATGCAGCCGGAAATAAAAATAACGAACTTCGATGGAATCGGGCGAAAGCTCTCGGACATGCGATTTTCTTTCGGTCGAACGGTCCGAACGAGAACGAAATCACTTTGGAATCGTGGAAATGGAAAGCGGATACGGAAATCGTGATAGCCGTTGAAATCACTTAGCAAGATCGTAAATTGAATAACTGTAGCGCGTGCATGTTACTTGATTTGTATCCGGATTAAAATATTTAATCCTTTGGAAACGCTGTATACCTGTGTCAGATTTGTGTGTGTACATATATGTATGTATATGTACATATTATTCCCGTGTAATTTACAATTATTATTATAATGTGTAATTTATAATTATATACAGTTGTACATGTGAATAATTTAATTATTTAAATGATAAAGTTGAGACTCATGTTCCTCCATTTCTCTGATATATAAACTAATCGAATTAAATAATTAAGTCTAATAGAATTTTCTACGAAGAAAATCACTTGGATTTCATGAAATGGTCAATTATAACGAATTGAAAAAATACGGTGTTATAAAATCGAGTTGTTTGAATTTTCTTATATTAATTATGAAAGGATATTTAAATAACATCATAGGAAAGTGTTATTACCTTTCCAATAATTATAGGAACAAAGAAGAAACATAGATTATTTAAAACCTGGAAATAAATAGTCAATTTGTTGATTATTATAATATATAAGAAATGCTTTAATGAAACTAAAACTCGTAGGCAAAGTAAATAATGCAAGGGTTTAAGAGGTTTTCTGGTAACTCGCGTCATTCCTTTCTGTCTACGCATCGAAATCTCCTCTCGCGTTCGTTCGTTCTCTTCTTTTTCCCGTCCTTTGCATACTACGACGCACTTTCCACATCTTCCCGAAATTGAATAACTGTTGCGTACGATTCGCGTTCCTTATTGCGTGCTGATGATGTAACGTTCCGTTCATTTTTTTCTTTGCAGTTCAAGGGGAGATTGTGATGCAGTCGACGCCCACGGTACCAACGTAAGTACCACGATATTTCTCTCTAATTTGCTAAAACGAAATTCTGTTCGCATTGATGTATAAAATGAGAAGCATAATCGAAGTTAATTCTTAAATAAGAAATGATTATAATGAACTATAATATTTCATTACAGTATTTATAAAAATATGATATTTACACAATACGAAAATCTTGAATTCAAGTATTCTCAAAATTGTAATTATTCGAATTTTATTTTGTTATTTAATTAAAGTTTTCCATAGAATTTATCATTGCTAACATCCATTAATTTTCAATGTAAAAATCATATGCATTCTGTTACAATTAGGATTCCCATGTAGGCTTATTTCTTTTTTAATGAGAAACTGAAAATTATTTTAAAAATTGATAGTTTTCTTTTAAAAAATGATTGTCAGAGAAAATTGACTGTGTTCGAATGAATAAAAAATAAATAAATGTTTGTACAGATTTAGTGGCAGACCCGGTGATCCATCGCCGCCGGTCTTCGAGCAAATCTTCAAGAACGCCAGATTCGCGCAGGGTGGTAACGCGATTTTCGAAGGGCGGGTCAGGGGTAACCCGAAGCCCACCGTTTCCTGGACGCACAAAGGAGCCCCGTTGTTAGAGTCATGGAAAATTCGGATGTCTTACGACGATAAAACCGGTACAGTCACCCTGCAAATTAATCAGATCGGTCCGGGAGACGAGGGTGAATACACTTGCAGTGCTAAAAATCAGTATGGTAAGTTTCCAATACGAAATATTTAAATATTTAAATACCTAAAACTCTTTAAAATAGCTGACATTTAATTATTAATATAATAAAGTCAAGTGAACGAGAGATTTGATAACAGAAAAATTCAGTTATACTTTTAAAATCATCTTGTCTTTACTTTGTCATCTAGTCTTGTAAAGTTACCTTATAAATGACTGAGTTTCACCGAGTTTCATTAATAATAGAATAAATTCAAAATTAATATAATATTCTTTGTAATTATATTATCATTACTCTATTAATTCAATATAAATACAATGTTAGATAATAAAATTTCATCGATGAACCTTTGTCATGGATACATGCACTCAATATTAATACAGTACTAGACAATATAATTTAATTGATGAATATTCATAGTTAATATATTGGTTCAATATTAATATAATACTAGAAAGTACAATTAAATCGGTAAATAATTATAGCTAATTTCTAAGACGATCGTCTCCCTATCGTCTTCGCTAAGACGATACAATTAAGTCAATGAATATTTGAAATTAATACATTAATTCAATGTTAATGCAATACCAGACAGTACGATTATCTCCACGTGAACATATTAATTCAATATTAATGCAATACCAAAGAATAAAATTAAACCAATGAATCCGTATCGTTCAGGCGAAGCGATTTGCTCAGTCTACATTCAGCCAGAAGGATTCGGACCTCCGCAGCAGCAGATGGGTACCTACAGGAAGGAGTACCAGCAAAGTTTCCAGTCGACCGAACAGAAGAGCCAAACAGGAAGCCAGACTTTCCAGCAGCGCAGCTATCAGCAAACGATTGACAAACGAAGCTACATGAACGGATCCTCCACCAGCATCGAGGACTTCAAGGTTGGCCTTCCTCCGATTTCATCGTCGAAAATCTCCCCGAGGCGGTTTCGTTCGAGAACTTCTCCTCGCTAGACAGACAGAGAGAGTTAATCCGATAAATTTTGCAGGTCGACACGTTCGAGTACAGACTGCTGCGTGAGACAGAATTTCGAGAGTCGATTACCCGCCGCTTCGTGGGCGAATCGGACGCGCAGATTTCGACGACGGTGGATCGTAACCTGGGACCGGTTGCACCTCCGCAGTTCGCGCAGAAGCCGAGAAACTCGAAGCTCGTCGAAGGATCGGACGCCGTTTTCACCGCGAAAATATCTGGCAACCCGAAACCAAGAGTGAGTACGAGTTTCTTATTTATTCAACCCTTTGCGCTTCAAAACTGTTTTGATGGAATATAGTCAGCATTTCTTGAAACTAACTTAACGAGAAATCGCGAATGACTAAAGAACGAAGCTGTTTTATTTTAATATTTCGCATATTAATGCATCACACGAAACTTAAAATTAAATATTATACTTCATCATTTTACTATACTAAATTGAGTGGCGACTGAGAGGCACCTATGGACTGCAAAGGGTTAATTAACTATTAACAAGGCACTGGAGTTGTTGGATTTTATAGCGAGTGTCTCGTACATGGAAATAGTAGCATTAATCAGATGAAATCAATTTCCTATGTGTCTTTTGGAAATGGAAAGTAACTCTTAAGAAACTTAAACATTGTTAAAGAAGTTGAAAAGTAACAAATTTGTCAGTGTTCATAGGGAGAACGAAATATATATGTATATAGGAAAGGAAGTTCATTTGTTAAAGAAATTTATTATAAGTAATCGTGAATAATTTCTTTTAATTCTCTTAAATGAACGTTTGATTAAAAGAATTTTCTGAAGTGTTTAATCATTGATTGTTTAGTGCAAGTAACTTTGACGACATTATTACCAGTGGTCCACGTGTTTTTAGTAGAAAATACATTCTAAGTAAAGTAATTTCATTGCTTAATAACGATGAAGAATTTGAATAATCAGGATGTTTGTTCTTCTTTTCCAGTTAACTTGGTTCAGAAACGGCCAAAGGATCCGCGATTCCCAACGCGTAGAGATGAGCTATTCGAATCAGCAAGCCACATTGAAGATCAGAGTCGCTTTACCGGAAGACAGCGGCCATTACACCTTGCTCTCAGAGAACCCTCAAGGTTGCACCGTCAGTTCCGCGTACCTTGCGATCGAGTCCAGCGCGGATCAAGTAGATCAGGCATACCAGACCTATCAAAAGGAGACGGTGAAGGCCCAACAGCAAGTAGAATCGACCGGCGAGTCCGACTCTGGCAAAGTTCTGCCGCCAAATTTCGTTCGCACCTGCAGCGATCGTGATGCTACCGAAGGAAAAATGACTAGGTAAATCTAATCTTTATTTCACGATATAAAATTACCGCCTTAAACAATATAAAGAGGTTAGAAATGAAGATGAATAAATATATTTAATCTTTTCTCCTACGAAGTAGAATACTGAACAAATTTTTGAAAGTTATAAGAAAAAATGATACTATGATATAGTTTGATACATATACATAGATATAATTTTTATTTTATAAAAGTATACACCGCTGAAAACAATTTTAACAATTTAGAAGGAAATATAATACTAGTTAGATCTAATTTTTATTTTTCAAGATAGAGTATTACAATGGACCACGTTAATAATGATCGTTAATTAGGTTTGACTGTCGTGTAACCGGCCGTCCGTATCCGGAAGTAACATGGTACATAAACGGGCAACAAGTAGCCAACGATTTCACCCACAAGATCCTGGTGAACGAGTCCGGCAATAACTCACTGATGATTACAAACGTGAGCCGCGCTGACGCCGGCGTCGTCACCTGTATCGCGAGAAACAAAGCCGGCGAGACGTCCTTCCAATGCAACCTGAACGTCATCGAGAAGGAGCAAGTGGTCGCACCGAAATTCGTAGAACGGTTCACCACGACAAACGTCAAGGAAGGTGAACCGGTTGTGTTCATGGCGCGCGCGGTTGGCACGCCTGTGCCGCGTATCACTTGGCAGAAGGTACATATAAAACGAAATAGTACGCTACAGCATACTTCTTTGCTATTCGATCATCACGATTAATAAACTGAGAATTTTTATGCGTTTATGTTTGAAAATTTATGAGGCACCAGGGGATATTCTTTTTTTAGAGTCAACAACGATGACGTTGTTTTAATTTTATCATGAGAAATCCTTTATTATCTTATTATTAATAATCTTATCTAATTTCTTTCTGGCTTTGGGAAATGTTTTCTAGGATGGTGTACCGTTAACACCCGGACCGGATGTACGTATATCAACGGATGGCAGTGGAGCTTCGACTTTGGACATATCCTGCGCGAAACTGTCGGATGCAGCTTGGTACCAATGCACTGCGCAGAATGTGGCCGGCTCGACAGCCACCAGAGCACGGCTTTTCGTGGAGACACCGAAAGGAGCAGCCCCCGAACCAAGACGCCTGAATTTACCCCGACCGACGAAAGTCATCGAACCAGAGTAAGTAATTACTTATCGTCATCGTATTGAAGGTTAAATTCCATTTTCAAAAAAATAAATAATACAAGACCTATAGTGGTAAACATTAAATTTTGGCAGAATTATTATTCATACATTAGAAAATCATTTTGTATCAAAATATACTTCTTAAATGAATTTTAATTAATTTTATAATTAATGATATCAGAATATAAATTTCACTATACAAAAATTTTGATATAAAACTCAGTGAAATAACACGTGCAATACATATTGATCATGAAACTGTCAAACCATTAACATTTTGTTAAATTATTTACAAGTATCTAATAATTGAAATCGAGTAAATCTACGAAACATTAACTAATTAAAATATTCATTTCTCTTTCACGCAACATTGGAAGAGTGACGGTACATTAATCAGAATTATCATTTATCCATTTATGCATTTGAGAACAGAAATAATGTTAAAAATGTTTGCAGACCAGCGCCTGGCCCCGAAGTGATTTATTTGCGGCACGTGGAACGTGCCAAGCCGTATTTGCCTCCACCCGAGGAGGACAGAGTTTATCCACCGCCACGTTTTATTATACCATTGAGGGACGTCCATCAGATCGAGGGTGGACGTATTCACTTCGAGGCCAGAATCGAACCGGTGGGCGATCCCACTATGAGGGTAGAGTGGTATGTTAATGGAAGAGCTCTCGATGCGAGTAAGTACTCTTTTCTTTAAATATATCACATTGTAATTGAAATTTATAATCTATAAATAATATTTACTTATCTAGAAATATGTCCATTCTTCAAAAAATTGTTAATATTTGAAAATATTTTTAATCCATCCTTTTATTCCATTTTTCCCTTTTCCTTTACTTAATTATTCCATTTAATTTTACATTGCATTTTTTCGAAAAGAAGAATTTTTTTAATACATTATCTTCAATGAAAATATAAATTTCATTTTTTTTTATCTTGAAGAAGTTAGTTCTTAGCAGTTTGAATACATTAATGGATTTAATCGTTGAGAAAATAATTGATTTTTTAATGTGAATGTTACCTTCAATTCTTAGGTTCCCGGGCGACTTCCATTTTCCGATTTGGCTTTATCTCTCTCGACCTCATCAGTATCGTTATCCAAGACAGCGGCGAATACTTGTGCCGCGTCGTGAGTTCGACTGGAGTCGCCGAGTCCCGAGCTACCCTCAGCGTGACCCGTAAGTAAATTAGTGTGATTAAAAGTTTCTTTCATTTCTATTCAATCATTGCTATTCAATTGAAATACCAGTTGAACGCGTTCGTTACCATTTTGTTCTTGCGATGATCTCAGTTCCAATATTCTAAATACCTAAATAGAATATTGAAAAAATGTAACCAAAATGAGTCATTAAGATATTAACAATAATAAATATGTTTTAACAATATCTATAACATTGATTTCTCTCATATTTAATTTTTATACTATTATTTTCATATATACAATTTTCGGATTAACTGCGTTTGACGCGTATACACGTCATCTTAAATCTCTAAATGGTGCTAACTTTCTCGAGGATGGACTATCTATTTTTCTAGACAAGCATGTAATTCTTCTTCGCTTCGCTTTAGTTTACCGTTAGAATGTATTATAAGTACATTTGGCCTGTAGTTGACAAGTATACACTTCATTATTTGATTTTATTTCGCGCATAATAAGATATTTCTCAAACTAAATACCGCACTTAACGGATTAGAAAATTTCTGTCGTATTTTCAACGTGAAACCAATTGTTTCAGCACGCGCGACAATCGAACAGGCTAGTCAACACCCCGACAGCCTCCAATATATCCAACAGCTCGAGGATTACAGCAAATATCAAAGGCAGGAGAGTGTGGAGGAGATCTCTTCACAGCGGCCGGCCTTCATCCGCCCGCTCCAGGATCTAGGAGAGCTGCAGGAAGGTCGGAACGCCCATTTCGAGGCGCAGCTGACCCCTGTTAGCGATCCCACGATGAAAGTGGAGTGGTACAAGGATGGTAGGCCGATCACAGCTAGTAAGTGTCCCATGAATCCTCATTTTTTATCATTAATACCGAATATTTTGGTGCGTTCTCTACATTCCTGTCGTTTTTCAGGCTCAAGAATCACAACCATCTTCAACTTCGGATACGTCTCGCTCAATATAATGCACCTACGAGCTGAAGATGCGGGTTCTTACACCGTGAGAGCTGTGAACCGCTTGGGAGAGGCCGTCAGCTCCGCGTCTCTTCGTGTCTTTGGTAATATTTTGTTTTATTAATGTATTCTTGAATGAAATACTTCTCATATGAGTTTATATGAGAATATTAAATATACAAAACATTATTTATTTAGATTTTATTTTATTATTTAAAGAAATGATATTTTGAATAACTTTTTATGTATTGTAATACCGATTCCCTATAGGAAACTTTATATTATAGGAGAAATATATCTTTACGTTTGATCTGTGAAATATTATAAAAATATACCTTTTGCTCTAGAAACTATTTTCATTTTTTAAAATGTCTTTTTGAGAATTACCTTTTTTTAAAATTCGAATTTAATGGAATCATATATGCTTGCACTTGATTTCTTTCTTCATGAAATTTCCGAGCAGTTATTGAATTTAGTTTCATCCCTTGTTGCAGCACGCACAAGCGTTACTACAGAATTGGGAATCCCCGAGCAACAGAGATATATCGAGGCTGCCGAGGAGTTGGAAGCCTACCAACAGGCCATGCACCAGAAGTACGTACAGGAGCAGCCTGAACCGACTAGCCCACCGGAATTCAAATCACCTATCAAGGATCAGAACAGCATACGAGAAGGCGGATTCGCTCATTTTGAAGCGCGTTTAGAGCCGGTCGGCGACGCTGACCTCAGAGTTGAATGGCTCAAGGACGGACGCCCTGTAGAAGCTAGTGAGTACACACTTAAATTTATTCCACCATTATTGTTTATTCCTTAATAAGAACTTTTCAAATTTAATCTATCTATTAATTAACAATTTAAGCAATATGTTTGAACATAGTATACAAGTACAGATTTTCCTTTATGAAATTTTTGAAGGTTCATTTATATCTTTATTTTAATTAAAAAAAATCGAATTTCCTTTATAAAAAGATTGTATATTTCGTAAGAAATATAATATAATTAAATTAATGAAAATTAAATAATGGAATTAAATGATTTCGTGTACGATCGCTTTTATGATTTCAGTAATAAAATTAGATTAAGTTTACTCAAAACGTAAAGTATAAAATTATATATACAACGAATATTTTAACGAATCAATCACTTTCTTCCAGGTTCACGTATTACGACATTCTTCAATTTCGGTTACGTAGCGCTCACCATCAAATACGTGACGATCTACGATGTCGGCGTGTACACCTGCCGCGCGTACAACCGCGTCGGTGAGGCACACACCACCGCTCAATTAAGCGTGATCAGCAAGAACGATGTCATTTATGACAGCCAGCACCCCACCGGTCTCCAAAAGATCCAGACCCTGGAGGATTCTAGCAGATACTCACGACAAGTGCAAGAAGAAACCCAAGTCACTCAGGCACCACGGTTCCTAGGGACATTGAAGGGCACTAATAAAATAGTTGAAGGACAACGCGCACACTTTGAAGCTCGCGTCGAGCCGCAAAGTGACTTAACAATGACCATCGAATGGTACCATAATGGAAAGCCAATCACCGCAGCGAACAGAATTCAAACTTACCATGATTTTGGCTACGTTGCCATTGACATTCTTCAAGTTAGACCCGAAGATGCTGGCACCTACACTGTTGTCGCGAGGAACGCCCTTGGCGAAGCTCGATTATCAGCTACCATGGTCGTAGAAAGTGAGTTTTCACGAATTTTGTTTACCGTTATTTATAATTTATTATAGTTTGTTTAGTATTAAATGATTTGTTATATCATTTATTATTATTTTGAAATGTACAAATTTAGAAATTCCAGAAATGAGTAAAGACTTCTAAAAATCTGAAGTTACTAATGTTAGAAAATCTCTTTCTTCAATTTTTTTCTATCAAATTGGAAAAGTGAAAATTGAAACATTTAAATTAATTTCTTCTATTTATATCTTCAAAGTTCTACTTTAATCAAACCACTAGAAATGTTGTAAATATTGTAAACTAAATTACTGATTTACTGTAATGTCAAATTAATAAAAAATTTGAAAGTAGATCTCAAAATATTTAAACGTTACATATTAAAATATTCTGATTCGGATTTTATTAATATTTTCTTTTCAATTGTAGCACGTTCGAGTGTTGACACCAGCAGCATGCACCGTACATCCTACGAGAAAACTCAGCGCCTCGAAGAATCGAAGTTCGTCGAACCTCACTACCATATCGAAGAAATTTCGAAATCGAAACCGATTTTCGTTCAACCATTGAGCGATCCTAAGCCAGTAAGCGAGGGCAAGAACATCCATTTAGAATGCCGCCTGGAACCAATGGGCGATCCAACGATGAGGGTCGAATGGTTCCAAAATGGCCGACCGGTCACCGTCGGTTCCAGATTCAGAACTTACTATGACTTCGGTTTCGTCGCTCTGGACATCGTGCACTCGACTGTCCTCGATTCTGGCGAATACACCGTTAGAGCCACTAATCATCTCGGCACTGCTCATACCTCAGCCTGCGTGAGGGTCATTGGAAAATCTGATGTAGTCACTGAAACGCAACACGAACAATCGCTGGAGCAGATTCAGATGTTGGAGGATTCTGCAAAGTTAGTAGACAATGATGAATTTCAAACGTTATTAAATTATTCAGTTTTTAGTATCCGATTTTAAATTAATTAACATTAAATTTTGAAGTTATCATTTATTTATATTAGGCTTAATCGATTTATAATAACGTTAATTTTAATAGAAATTCTTTTTTGATATTTCAATAGATTTAGAGAAATACAAATATCTATTTTATTTCTATTAAATGAAATGAATTTGAATTTATTTCTTCGCCTGATCATACAGATTTTATTTCCAAAGAATTATTTATTTCTACATCTAACACTTCACTAGGAAAATTGATTTTAAAATGGTACCAGATTTCTACATCTAACACTTCTAGAAAAATCGATTTTAAAATAGTACCAAATTTCTACATCTAATACTTCACTAATTGCGCACAACACTGCTATAAAATTTTCCACTGAGCACTCAAACGATTCTTTGTTTTAATAGATACCGCAGGACGCAGCAAGAAGAAGTGACAGTAATGCAAGCTCCTCAATTCACTCGACCATTGCACAACATCGAGACTGTCGAACTGACGAATGTCCATCTCGAATGTCGTCTTCAGCCAGTTGGCGACGCCACGATGAAAGTCGAATGGTTTGTAAACGGCAGAGCAGTGAAGACGGGTCACAGATTCCGACCATCCTATGAATTCGATTACGTGGCACTCGATATTCTTGGTGTGTACCCCGAAGATTCAGGTGTGTACACTTGCCAAGCCAGAAATCAGCTCGGAGAGGCCGTCACCTCTTGCTCAGTGAGAGTACACGCAAAGAAAGATTTGCTTTTGGAAACCCACCACCCTGAAGGCTTGGAGAGAATACAATATTTGGAGGACGCCTCTAGATATAAGAGGCACGAAATCGTTGACGAGGTGGTGAACGTTAAGCCTAGATTCATCACTGCTCCGAAAAACCAAGAGAACCTGCGTGAAGGGCAACACGCGCATTTCGAGTGCAAGCTGGAACCTGTGACGGACTCGAACTTGAAGGTCGAGTGGTTTAAGAATGGTCGTCCGGTTACAATAGGTAAATGAAGTTTATTTGGATTATTCAAAATTCAGTTTAAAATTCAGAAAGAAACATAATCATTTCGTTTGGAATTTGAACATTTTAAGAATAGAATGTGTTCATTTTGAAAAAAATGGCAATTCGACTTGGAGATAATAAGTAATCTGATTTAAAGAAACAATAATTAATTTAATACTAAAACTGACAAGTATTAAAAATAATGTAGCTATACATTATAAAAAATCATTAAATTATTTTTTTAAATTTACACATGACATTCATGCCATTATACAAATAAAGATATGAATTTTTTAAATACTTTCAGTAGTAAAATTAGATTACGTATCACTTAATTGTATTAAATTTTGATTAAAATTAAATACTTCCTACTCTCACTATAAAAAACAATAAAGAAACATATTTGTAATTTTCAAATTTTATTGGAAATAAAACAACAACAAAGAACAGTATATGAAAATAAATACGTAAACATCAGCTCTGAATTGTCTAGTTACTCAAAAATGAATCTGTTCGATCCACAGGACACCGATTCCGTCCGATACACGATTTCGGCTACGTTGCTCTGGACGTGATCGACCTGATCGCCGAGGATTCAGGCACTTACACCTGCCGCGCAGTGAATCTCGTCGGCAGTGACGAAGTTTCCTGCACGTTGTCTTGTCGGTCGACCGCCCAGGTCTTGACGGACACGCAAAACGAGCTCGGTCTCGAGCGCATTCACTATCTCGAAGACAGGACCAAGTACCACCGACAAGAAGTTGTCGAAGAAACAACAACTCAGGCGCCGATTTTCACCACGTCGTTGAACAACGTGGAGATAAAGGAAGGACAGAGAGCTCATTTTGAATGCCGATTGATACCAGTGTCCGATGTAACGATGAAAGTCGAATGGTTCCACAACAACAAGCCAGTCAAGGCTGGATCTAGATTCGTCGAGACGAATAACTTTGGCTTCGTCGCGCTGGACATTATGTATGCGTACCCTGAAGATTCTGGCACGTACACTTGTCGAGCGAAGAATATCATTGGCGAAGCGATTACTTCGGCAACTGCAGTTGTGCACTGTAAGTTTCGTCTTTTGGAATTAATTTTTTGGAATAATAGAATTTGTTAAATTCTTCGAGATATTTATCTTATAGTTTTAATTTATAGTTACTTATAGTTTTTAATTTATAATTTCTAATTTGGAATTTATAATTTATAATTTATAATTTATAATTTATAGTTTATAATTGTTTAATTGTTTCATTTTATATTTTCCTATTTTTCTATTTTTCTATTTTTCTAATTTTCTACATTTCTAATTTTATCATTTTTGTGGAATATTTCTCATCGTAAACCTTCTTTTTAATACTCTAGAAAATAATCTGTTCTATACTATTATACATAGAAACAATAATACGATTTAAATCATTGTTGTAACAGCTTCCAAGATAGCTACAAATTCCCAGATTTCAAAGAACGATTCTTTCAAATGTCCTAGACATGAATAATAAAAATGATAATTCGTTTTAAACAGCGAAAAAATCAATCTACATGGAAACTCAAAACGAGGAGACCCTGCAACGTCTTCGCTACCTGGAGGATACTTCGCGTTACCAACGCAAAACCACAACGGAGGAGACAGTTACGCAAGCACCAGTCTTCACGATGCCTATCAAGGACCTCAAAGTCGCTGAAAATCAAGCAGCCCACTTCGAAGCTCGCGTTATTCCTGTCGGCGACTCTAAGTTGAAAGTTGAATGGTTGCGAAACGGAGTTCCCATCTCAGCTTGTGAGTGCCATTTCCCATTTTCAATTATTATTATGATTTCCTGTACAGTATTCTACATTTTACCCAATTAACCAATTGCTCATTTTAAACACGACAATTGTTTTGCACAAAATGTTAAAGTTGACACTGCCTAAACAAGAAATTACATATGAATACAAAAGTATTGGCATATGAATACTTGCTAAAAAAAATATTTAAAAATTAGTGGATACACATTGAGAAGAGACATTCAAAATTCATTTATTCTTCGCTTGACAATGGTGATTTTCTCTACAGCTAATCGCGTGACCACGATGCACGATTTCGGATACGTCGCTCTGAACATGAAATATGTGAACCCTGAAGACTCAGGTACTTACACTTGCCGTGCAGTGAACGATCTCGGAGAAGCAGTCACGTCTGCTACACTCTTCGTACAATGTAAGTTACACGCGTGTGAACATAGTATCTAGTATCTATAAGTAATTTTTATAATGGAGCTTCAATTTTGTTCAGCACCGTTTTTCGTAAGCTACAAATGTGCTTTCACTTTGCAGAAACGTTAGCTAACACGTAGACATAATATATTCTGTGTGCATCGAATTTCTTTCAGGTATCCGGTAGAATGTTCGTAGTTTTTCTTCTATTTTTCGATGTATTTTTGTGTTTTTCGCAAAAGATGTCTGTAACGCTGGAAAATGCTTCTATGTAAATATTTTTCGCAATTACCAGCTCCGCGACAAATTTTTACTACGAACACAAGTTTTTTTTATACCTACCTGACATAGCTCAATAACACTTAATTTTAACGAGCACTATTTATTTACTTCACACATCTCACCTTTTGTCAATTAGTACCATATCTCTGCCCAATAGATGATTTGTTTGTCCTGAATACATTTCTGGGGTGCTGATAGATGTCTTCCCCTTGCTCGAATTTATTTAAATGACATATTTCTTCAAAAACCTGTATACATATCTCACCTACAAATTTTATCACTACCAGATTCACGAATGCCAATTGCATACTTCGTTGTTCCTACTTTTTCAATAATTATGTATTTTATCAGCTGTATATATTATCGTATTCAAATATTAGAAATTAAGGGACGAAATACGAAAGAGATAATCAACACACAGACTCACATCATTGCATCGATCAAAATCAGAATTAACAAAAATATACATTCTGAAAGATCAAATTAAAAAACAATTATCACTCTGCAACCCTTCAGGCACACCTCCTTTTAGTCTTCAATGTGAATACAATGACAACGAAAGTGTCATTTCATTACTTCAAACTAGAGACGACCGAACAGAAACCATTTTTCCAATTTAAAATAAATTAATCACCATTCACAACATGAATACATAACAGAACCAGCACACTGACAAAAAACTACTCTTCCCCCGACACAGCGAAAGCAGCGCTTCAATTGGAGTCGCAGCACGAGAGCGCGCTGTCGAAGATCCAGGCACTGGAAGACACCAGCAGGTACCAGCGCCGCGAAGAAGAGGAGATCGTCGTGAAAGAGAAGCCCCGGTTCACTGTCCAACTGAACGGGCCGACCAGCCTGGTCGAGGGGCAAAGCGCACACTATGAGTGCCGCATAGAACCGTACCCAGACCCGACCATGAAAGTCGAGTGGTTCCATAACGGCAAACCACTGTCCACCGGTCACAGGTACAGGACCACGTGCGACTTCGGGTTCGCAGCGCTCGACGTGCTGACCGTGTACGCCGAAGACTCTGGCACGTACACCTGCCAGGCCACCAACAAACTTGGATCGGCGCAGAGCTCGATCAATCTGACCGTGAAATGTAAGTTGCTAACCTGATGAATCGGCCAGGCTCTACTAGCTACAGGATTGTAGTTTCCTTTTGAGAGGAGTTTGAGCTTGGAGCTACAATAGAAGTATCTTTCATTTGAAATGTTGTTATTCAATGGTGCAGATCGTTTGTTGCGACTTGATTATTTGTTTTAAATTATTTTACTTTGGGTTATAAGTGTTTCGACTGTTTTCAAAATTTTTTGGTTTGTTAGGTGTATTATTGATTCTTTTTTTTACCTTTTTGAAATTAGTTTATTTACGAGTTTTATTGTAAGTTTTTCTTTTTATTAGTTGGTTTCTTAGATAATGAAAGAGATTTTTTAGTTATGTATTGACGAGTTCAGAAGATTTCATTTGATCTATATATTATGACATTAACTTAAAGTTTTATTTATTTATTTATTTATTAGACTATTATTTTGCTTTATACAATTGATACTTATAAATATTCACAAACTCCTCTCACGAGTAAGTCGCACAGAGACAGTAATTGAACATATTCGCGTGCTTTATGAAAGTCTCTGTCTTCGACGCTTATAGCTTCCACTGCTTAGAGACACGTTTATAATCCGCTTCCGCAGTGTACACTCAATGGTTGTTTTGCTTCTCTTTAGGTGTATCTCGTTGTTTTTCTTTTATTATTATTATTCGTCATTGTCAATTATGAATCGTTCTCAAACCTTCTTCCTTCATATAAATCCATATTGTTCTATCTAAAAAACAAGACCACTTTAACGAATAATGATTTGTAGCTCGCGCCTCGATCATCCGTGAAACGCAACACGAAAGCGCTCTGAAGAAGATACAGTACCTCGAAGACGACTCGCGTTACAAGCGTGTCGATGAGGAGGAATTGATTATCGCCGAGAAACCGAAATTCGGTCGTCCATTGAAGAACATTGAACACCTTCCCGAGGGCAAGAGTGCTCATCTTGAGGCCACTTTAACACCTGTAAACGATCCAACGATGGTGGTAGAGTGGTACAGGGATGGAAGACCGATTCCGCAAGGTCACAAGTTCAAGACCACTTATGATTTCGGATATGTTGCCCTGGACATCCTCTATGCTTATCCGGAGGACTCTGGAACCTACATGTGCAAAGCCAGAAACGCTGTCGGCGAGGCTGTTACCACTTGCGTGATTAGCGTTGACTGTGAGTATTTAAACAAACGTAATGTGGGAAAGATGAAAAAACTGGTCGTATTTTGAAAAAAATGTTGAAACTTTTCGAAAAAGTATCACTTATTGCAATACGTTATGAAAATATTGCACTTTTTAAGTTAAGTATTCAAATTCATTTATCGTTACGTAAATTGTTGTAAAAAAATATGCATTTAAAACTAATGTATGGAAATAAGAATTGCTCGGAGAATCTTGGGATTTCGATGTGAATTAAAAATTATTTCGTAGTTTACCGTCGACAACGTCAGATCGCGAACGAATGGTATAACCTTTTGAAATGCCAAAATTTCTGAGTTGTTCAGACCGAAAATTTCTTTTCAATGAACTCGGCGAAAAGAATAGAAATTCAAGATTTTTCGTTTTATTCAAACAGCGAAACAAGGCCTCTTCTTGGACACGTTGGACGCCCAGCGTTTGCAGAAGATTCGCGAGCTGGAGACAGTGGAGGTGAAACAAGAAGTCGAGAAAGAGGTTGTGCACCAGAAGCCCGTTTTCCTGACACCGCTGAACAACCTGGATCATCTAAAGGAGGGCGAGCATGCTCATTTAGAATGCCGCGTCGAACCTATCAACGATCCAAACTTGAAGATAGAATGGTAATTATTCAATTTCATTGGAAACTTTGATTACAACTTTCAAAATATGATTAAATTGCTTGTTTCGTAACTATAAAAATATTAGTGAGAATACAAAACTTCGAGTCCCAATTTCTATAAATATAATCTCGAGAAGTTTTTTTGGAAAGAGACCGATGTTTCGTGCATTTATCATATTTATATATAATATACAATATTAAGTAATATAAAAGACCAAACTACATAGCTGAATTGACTTTTTAAATAGGTTCGTAAATGGTGTCGCTGTAAGAACTGGACATCGCTTCCGCAAGACCCACGATTTTGGATACGTTGCACTTGATATTCTGTATACCTATCCTGAAGACTCAGGCACTTACATGTGCAAAGCTACTAATTTGGCTGGCGAGGCTGTCAACACTTGTACCATCAAAGTAGGCTGTAAGTACTAATATTGAAAGTATAATTTACGAAGGAATCTTCCAAAATAAATAATTAAGTACTTTTCATGTAAAAAATCTTAATTGTTAACATAATAGTCAAGGTATACAAGGTTAAATTATTTTGCAATGGAAAATTGAATTTTGTAAAAAAAAATATTCAGCGCGCCAATAGCAGGTTTCTTCTTGTTTGATATTTGTCTATAAAAATATTAAATTTATAAAACATAATTTCGAAAATTAGATAATACGTCGCAAACAATCCAGAGAAAATTAAATTCAGTAGCATCTATAATTTTGTTATAATAAAACTGAGAATATAAGAGATTTTATCCGAAGACTTCAATGCTTGGTAGAAAAAGTTTCGCAAAAGATTCGTGCCGTTTGCACGTATATTACGTATAGTTTAGACGGCACGACTTACTTGTATATTACTATACTTTGTTTGAAAAACATTTTTTTTCATCTCTACATTGAACTAATTCACAACAACTTATTAATATTAATAGCGAAATATAAACGCTACCCTCCCCCAAGTTTTCGTCCCGTGAAATCTCCCGAAAATATGAACACAGCTGAAATCTATACCGAGAGAAGAAATTATTGCTCACCATCAATTCAAAGAGAAAATTTGACGAGTATGAAACCTAAATTCGGATCATTCTCTTTAACAGCATGCAAATGTAACAAACAATTTATCGAATCTCGTCAAATACAAGATCATCACTTTCTTCCAAAGAATCGATACAAGCCATCGACTAATCTCTGCTGCAAGACTGAAAATGAAATTCGTTTCGCAGGGAGAAGAAAATCCGAATCAAATTTCAATAATTATGAATATGTTAATAAGAGAGATAAATTAAGAAATACTTGCCAAAGCGCGAAGTCTCATTGCAGTGGTCGTCGCGTTACATTTCAAGGTTTGCATGAGAAACCTTGTCGAGCCGAACAAATCAAAATATACAGAACTAATTGATGTTTGTTACTGTTGAAGTAAAAAAGAAGATACATTAATCACGAACAAACTATAATAGTAATTTATAAATTGCATTGTTCCTTCTATATAATTTTGAAACTGAAATAGTGATATACTTAACGTAAAATTCTTTTTTACAGCTCGCCGTAGTATTCTCCTGGACACACAACATCCCGATGGTTTAGAAAAGATTCGCGAACTCGAAGCCCATGGACATCCAGCCCGTTTGGAAGTCGAAGAACCACCAGTGACTCCTCCAAGATTCGTCACTGAACTAAGGGTAAAAATTTGTATAATTCTATTCTTTACAATTTTCAATCACGGTTGGGCAAAAATAAAAATTATTCTAAAATATAATAATAAACATTCATTTAAAATAATTATTCAAGAAAATTCATTGTATCCAAATGTAAACCATACGAATATTTATAGTATTTATCATAATCGTTTAACATTGAACCGAGAAAATTTTATTTTGTAAAAAAAAATCATGATTTTATTTTATACAGAGAAGTTCTAACATATTGTACACAAATGATTCTAATCATCAGAAGTACTCATTTATTCCAAAAAATTCTGATTCCCAACCCTAAAAGAAACCAATTTTTTAATCAATTGTTCAATTTTTCAGGGTACCACTGAAGTGTACGAAGGCCAAACAGCTCACTTCGAGTGTCAAGTGGAGCCTCTTCACGATGCCAACTTAAGAATCGAGTTCTTCCACAATGGCAAGCCTCTGCCATCAGCTTCCCGATTCCATGTGACCTTTGACTTTGGATACGTGGCTTTGGACATCAGCCACGCAGTTCCTGAAGACGCAGGACAGTATTCTGTCCGAGCGATCAACGCTCTCGGACAATGCGTCTCATCGATCGAACTCAAAGTTATTCCACGCGACAATATTATCCTCGACTCGCAGCGTCCTGAAGGCATGGACAAAATCCGCGAGCTCGAAGCTCAGCAGCCCTGGAAGAGACCGGAGATACCGGAACCGCAGACCAGGCAACGGCCAGTTTTCACTCAGCCTTTGCAGAACATTGACGCTATTCCCGAGGGACAGACTGCTCACTTCGAGTGCAGGCTGATACCTGTGGGAGACCCTACAATGAAGGTCGAGTGGTTCAGGAACGAAGTTCCTCTCGAGACAAGTGAGTTGAGACGTGTATTAAACTCAGATAGTTTTCTTATATATTGTTTTAGCAGTGTTGAGTTCTTCGAGTTTGTTTTCTTTCTACTTGAAAATGGAATAATTCCAGTAATTGTAAAATAGAAAAACTACAATCATTTTGATAGGCACTGTAATTCTATTGATAAATTAAATTTCGTTGGACCACGTGGTGCTTATTTTAGTTCATGAAACTATCAATATTAATAATTTTTTAGTGATATAAAATTCTAATTGATAAAAGATACGAGTCCTTACTTTTTGATAGTTAGGATTAATATAGCCAACGTTGGTTTATTGTTTTAATTATTGAATTCCTCATGAAATGTCTTAACTTCTCAATATTTAGGCTCTAGAATTACCAAAGTCCACGATTTCGGATTCGTGTCCCTGGATATTACTCACGTGCGCGAGGAGGATGAAGGTGTCTACATGTGCCGTGCTACCAACGCGCTTGGTGAAGCGGTCACTACAGCTTCAATGAAGATCAAGAGTCGGTATCATTATTCTCAAACCAATTTCTCTTAGAAATATTAACTGTTACTGATTGTGATGATTTTTTGTATACAGGTAAAGCTAGTATACAATTAGACACCCAACACCCTGAAGCCCAACGCAAGATCGCACAGCTTGAAGCTGACAAACCAGGCCGTGCTGAAGAGCCAGATAAAGTATTCGACAAACCGATCTTCACGCAACTGTTGACGGGTCCCACAGAATTGTGGGAAGGACAAATGGCTAGATACGAGTGCAGAGTCGTACCTGTTGGTGATGGCAGTTTGAGATTCGAATGGTACATAAACGGAGTTGAACTGAAAATGGGTAAGCATTTCCCAGATCATAGAAGAAAATAAAAAATAGACTTATTTAATTTAATTAAAACAAACGGTCGCTTATAAACCATAAAACCTTCAAGTAGAGAACACGTTGAATGTGACACAAATAAAAATATAATTTTCACATATTTTTCCGAACTCCACTCAATGTCTTATTAGTCTTCTCCAAATTATATTTTAGAACATATATTTCATTAAACAAGAATCATGACAAAAATTATTCACGTCGAGGAACACCTATTTTTAAATTCCTCTTCAATAATAACTAACACAATTGTTTCCCTCAGGTTCTCGTTTCCACGTGAGCCACGACTTCGGTTACGTGACTCTCGACATCCTGAAAGTCATACCCGAAGACTCCGGCGTGTACACGTGCAAGGCGATCAACAAAGCCGGAGAAGCAGTATCCTCTATATCTCTGAAAGTGAAAGCCCGCTCAGCCATCGATGCAGACAGCCTGCAACCGGACGCTTGGCAGAAGATCCAACTGAAAGAAGCCGAGATGAACAAGGTCCCAGAAATGTTCGTGGACACTACACCCCAACAAGCACCGGTGTTCACCAAACATCTAGAGAGCTTCGACAAACTAGTCGAGGGCCAGCACGTCTACCTCGAAGCCCAAGTCGAGCCAAGAGCAGATCCCAATCTTCGAGTGGAATGGTTCAAGAATGGAATATCCCTACAAACAGGAACGAGACTTCGCAGCACCTTCGACTTTGGCCTGGTGACTCTGTCTATAAACGGTCTAAGAGCAGATGACTCAGCAATTTACACCTGCAAAGCTACAAATCTACTTGGAGAAGCTGTATCCACTTGCAGCTTGAAGATCGTCGATCGTCATTGGTTGCTAGGTGACACTCTTCATCCCGATGCTCTTCCCAAGATTGACGCCCTGGAACAACCTCAGGTGACCAGCGCAGAACAACCAGAGCCTACCTATGAGGAGCCAGTCTTCATTACTCACTTGAACAACGTAGAATGTATCGAAGGTGACAACGTCCACTTCGAGTGCAACGTGGAGCCTTCTAAAGACCCAACGATGAAGATCGAATGGTTCATCAATGGAAAGCCCCTGCCATCTGGAGCGAGGTACAAATCGACTTACGACTTTGGTTATGTTGCTCTAGACATCAACCATGCTTATGAAGAAGACTCTGGTGTAGTGATCGTGAAAGCAACTAATTCAAAGGGCTCTGCACAGACATCTGGAACGTTGAAGTGCATCAGCAAGCAGAACATCTATCTTCAGACCCAGCATCCTCAAGGAGAAGCTGGTCTGCAGAAAGTCAAAGAAGCAGAGGACGCTTACTTGTCCAAATATAAGAGACCTGATGAAGGCCCTGAGCATGAATACCCTAAACCAATCTGGACAGTTCCCCTGCAGCCTGAATTCAAACTTGGTGAGTCTGAACCTCTTCACTTGGAGGGCCAGGTGGAGCCTAAGGAGGATCCTAATTTGAAGATCGAATGGTACTTCAATGGCAAGGCTTTGGAACATGGGTCCAGGTTCAAGATGACCAGCGACTTTGGATTTGTTACATTGGATCTGACCGATGTCTACGACAGAGACTCCGGTATATACACATGCAAAGCTTACAACAAAGCTGGAGAAGCTTTCACATCCACTACAGTGTACTGCTCGACGAAGGAGAACATCATTGAGAGATCTCAACATCCTAAGGGTAAAGAGGGTCTGGAAGCTATCCAAGACCTAGAGGAGTCTCTGAAACGCCAAGAAGGCGGACCACCAGAAAGCGAAGAGGGACATCCTCCAGTGTTCACCTCGCAGTTCGAAAACTTAACCAACCTGTCCGAAGGCGAAATCGCTCACTTCGAAGCTTCCCTTACTCCAACTGGTGACCAAACGATGGTCGTCGAATGGTTCTACAATGGCAAACCACTGGAAGCTAGTCATCGCACTAGAACAGTCTACGCGTTTGGCATGGTTGTTCTCGAAGTGCTAGGTACTAAAATCGAAGACTCCGGCACTTATTCTTGCAGAGCAACCAACAAATGGGGCAAAGCTGAAATCAGCGTACAGCTAGAGTGTGTTGACAAGTCGAAGGGTCAGAAGCCCAAGTTCACTACTCAGATTCAATCTCTGGAAGGCTTGAAAGATGGCCAATCAGCGCACTTCGAGTGCACGCTAATTCCTGTTGGCGATCCTCATATGAAGGTCGAATGGTTCCACAATGGTCAGCCTTTGAGACATTCCTCAAGGTTCAAAATGGTGTCTGACTTCGGTTTCGTGGTGATGGACATAGCTGGAGTGATGGCACACGACACTGGCGAGTATGTCTGCAAGGCAAGCAATAAATATGGCGAGGACTACACCAAGGCAACTTTGAGGTGCTTCGGCAAGAGTGGAGTGTATCTTGACTCCCTTCAGCCCGATTCCCTTGCTAGGATCCGCGAGCTGGAGAGCTATGGCGGCGAACAACCTGCTACGCCTACCACACCAGTCGCTGAACCTCCTAAGTTCATCACACAGATTACTGACATTACCAAACTTGTTGAAGGACAGTCTGCTCACTTCGAGGCTAGACTGACACCAGTGACTGACCCTGATTTGAAGGTTGAATGGTACTACAATGGGAAGAAACTTCCTCATGGACATCGTTACAGGACCTTCCACGATTTTGGCATTGTTATCTTGGACATACTTTACTGCTACGAGGAGAATTCTGGAGTATACGAGTGCAGGGCTTTTAATAAGTATGGAGAGGATACAACGAAGGCAACATTGAAGTGCTACTCCAAGGCTAGCTTGATCTTGGAGTCCCAGTTGCCTAAGGGTATGGAGGGTGGTTTAGAGAAGATCCAAACGCTAGAGGATTCAATGATCAGGACGAGGGACGAGAAAGTGACCGAAGAACGTGGAAAGGCTCCGGTGTTCACCGTGCCGCTGAGCAATATCGATGGCCTTCGCGAGGGCGAGAGCGCGCACTTTGAAGCTAGACTTACGCCTACCGACGATCCCAAGTTAAAGGTAATATTGCGTTGTTTTATGGATTTCTATTCTTTCTTAATTTTATTAATTTATTATTTATTATTTCAATAGCACTGCTAGTGTCGCTGTTTCATTGATTAGTCAAATTGAATTAATTGGAATTAACCTTATTGTTTAGATTCATATCAAATTTAAATTCTCAAGCATTAAAATTTTACAATTACACAATTCTATAGTATCAAACGAATCTTTAAAGGACGATATAAAAATATTTTTAAAAATCCAGATTAACAAAACTGAAGTAACATCTGACCGTTACAGGTCGAATGGTTCTGGAACGGAAAACCATTGCGAACCGGTTCCCGTTTCCGCACGTTCTGCGACTTCGGCTTCGTGATCCTCGAGATCTCGCCGATCTACCCAGAAGACTCCGGCGAGTACAGCTGTCGCGCTTCGAACGAGTACGGCGAAGCTGTCACCACCTGCACGATGAAGTGCACTGGAAAACGCAGTATAATCTTAGAGTCGCAGTTACCTAAGGGAATGGAGAGCACCATCGACAAGATCGCCGAGCTTGAAGGCCTAGGAAACGAGCCCAGCGCAGCTACACCTGAAGATGACACCGGCAAGCCACCGGAATTTGTCACGACACCATCTGATTTAACACTAACAGAAAACTCTCTGGCTCACTTCGAGTGCAGGCTGACACCTATCAATGACTCCAGCATGAGAGTCGAATGGTTCCACAACGGAAAGCCTCTTCTAGCTGGCAGCAGGATCAAAACCATTCATGACTTCGGCTTCGTCATTTTGGAGGTCGCTAACTGCTACCAACGTGACTCTGGTTTATACACCTGCAAAGCGACCAATCGCCACGGCGAAGCTACCGTGTCCTGCAAGCTGCAGGTCCGTGGACGTCAAGGCATCATCCTGGAACCCCAATTGCCTACCAACTTCAAGACTGGAACAGAGAGCATTCAGAAACTGGAAGAGGCTCTGTACAAGAGGGATGAAATTCTGACCGAAGAAGAGACACCTAATCCTCCTAAGTTTACCGTAGAGCTGAAAGATATCGAAGTCGAGGAAGGAGCGCCTAGTCACTTTGATTGTAGAGTAGAGCCTGTTGGAGACTCTACCATGCGTATCGACTGGTTCCACAATGGACGATCATTCGCGACTGGCTCCAGAGTTCATCAGATAAACGACTTTGGCTTCATTTCTTTGGATATGTCTTATACCTACGCCAGGGACAGTGGAGAATACGTTTGCAGAGCTACTAATAAGTGGGGATCTGCTACTACTAAAGCTACCATCACTTGTAAATGTAAGTAAAAGACTAGAATATCGATTAAATATTGAATGTAGTAAAGGTAAATGTTACAAATTGATTCTGAAAGAAGGATGTAGATCAATTCTTTTTTAATAAATTTTTAGTAAATTATTTTTTAAATAGCTTCTCTCAAAAGTATTTAAGTCTTTTCAATAATTGTAGAAGAGAAGGCTAGACATAAGTTATTTCGGCTTGTCTAATAATTTTGTTATTAATCGTGGTATTAAAATTTGCGAAGTATGTAATTAGTTTTTTTATCGAAAATTGATTATGAGAAGCGTTAATTTATCGATGAATAATACATTTTTCTAATGTTTTAGCTAAGAAAACTATTGACTTCGAGTCCCAGCTGCCATCAGGCATGAGCGGCGAGAAACTGAAGGAATTGGAACGCGGACCAATCAGCGAACCACCACCGGAAGAGCAGGTGCCGCGACAGCCGCCGAAATTCATCACTCAAATCCAATCGGCGACCGTTGATGAATCCGAACCCGTCAGGTTCGAGTGTCGCGTGGAACCAAAGGATGACCCGAATTTGCGTATCGAGTGGTACCGCAATGGAAAATTGATTCCAGCTGGTCACAGATACAGGAGCACGTATGACATGGGATTCGTGTCCATGGACATCCTGTATGTCTATCCAGAGGATTCAGGAGAATACGTGTGCAAGGCCGTCAATGACTTTGGAGAGGATACTACCAGAGCATCGGTTTCATGCAAAAGTAAGTTATTTATGAAATTATCTATGAAATATTTTCTATTTGCTATTTTCAAAATGATTTCACCCTTACACCCACACCTCATTTCTTATCGATGTTATAATAATATATTTATAATAATTGATTTATAATTTATATAATAATTTACTTTTTGTATTTTCGTTGAAAAATGATTATGCATTGGATCTCTATCTTTTTTTTTATTATTTTACATTAATTCATATTAGTTG